TATTAGGTACACTCACGATACTTTTCAGGATCCAGGATCAGACAGGTGAAGAAAATTCTCACACGTGCACTATTCACACGAGTTACTATTCAAATTGCTATATTTTCACAAAAGTTAAGTCCCGGTACAAAGCTACCAATCAAACTATAACTTGCCGAATGCCTAATACTCGATTACACGGTGTACGCGATTGGATGATGTGCGAGAATTGAGAGTACCTCAGATTGAGGGTTTTCTCGGAGCAATTCTGTCGTACGAGTTCTCGTAACTCGCGATCAAGTGCCACGCCGCTGAAAAACAGCCAACTGACTCTTCGAATGAAACATGTCCGAAACACTTTCCACTACCAAATCCGCAGGGTGTCGCAATCGGCGTAGCGGCTGCCCTGCCTCTCATTATTATTTCGCGAATTACTTATAACTAGATTCGAGTCGATACAGAGAGATGGCCCCAGGCCTGCCGTTGTTGGCCAACCGAGTTGACTACGACATAACCGTACATACCGCCCGCCTTGCGCTAGCCAGAGCGCAATCGAGTTGTTCCTGAAATATTACTCAATCTACAGGCACTTATACTAAGCCTCGCGGGAGGATTGGGAAGAATCGTTCTGAGACTCCAAATCGACGGGTAATAAAGCGAGTTTTGTTATTGGCCGCTTATAATCTCCCGTCTTAGTTTTGACGGTGACGACTCTAACTAATTGATCGCGGCCCGGATGGCAATGCGTGATTCGTGCAAGTTCCCACTTGGTTGGTGGGAGATTGGGTTGTCTCAAGAGAACGATTTGTCCCATCTTTACATTGGTTTGGGGCGTGAGCCACCGCGAACGATGCTGACACGACAGAATGTAATCGCGAGACCACTAAGCCCAAAATTGTTCAAGCATTTGTTGAACTAGTTGCCAGCGTGACAACCGATTAGAGGCTACGTCTATAACCGGTGGTAGCGGAAGCGCAGATACAGGACCGCCGATAAGGAAGTGAGCAGGGGTTAATGTTTCCAGGCTTTCTGGATCATCAAGAAGCGGAGCTAGCGGTCTTGAATTTAGACACGCCTCAATCCTGCAGACAAGCGTGTTGAGTTCCTCATAAGTTGGTGTTCGATCACCCAGAACTCGCGTATGGTGGTGTTTAACGGATTTCACACCAGCCTCCCAAAGACCACCGAAGTGGGGGGCAGCGGGTGGAATGAAATGCCAATCAACTCTATCCTCCGCAAGGCGTCGCCGCAGCTCATGACTATGGGTCGCGAGCCGGAATGCAGTGCTCACCTCCCTATCAGCTCCCTGAAAGTTTGTGCCATGGTCGCTATAAACTTGGCTTGGTAAACCTCTACGTGAGGAAAACCTTACGAATGCTGCTAGAAAGGCATCGGTGGACAATGCAGTTACCACTTCTAAATGGATGGCCTTAGTCGCCATACAAATAAATAATGCAATGTACGAGCGCTGAGACCGAATACCGCGAATGCCCGCCATGCGAACCGCGACTGGACCAGCATAATCCACGCCACAGATGGCGAACGGACGAGTTGGGCGAGTTATTCGGGCCGGTGGCAAAGAACCCATGAGCTGTGTCGGCAGTTCGGCACGTATACGAGCGCAGGTGAGGCAATTATACATGACAGATTTAACGATTTTCCTCTCTTGGACGAGCCAGATCATGCATCGGAGGGTCGCTAGGGTTAATGATATGCCACCATGCAAGCATCGTTGATGGGCATCGAGTACCAAGAGACGTATGACGGGGCAAGACCTTAAAATGATAGGGCACCCAGTAGTATCTTGAGCGTGGCTAGGTATCACGCGACTTCCGACACGTAGAAGCCCATCGGTTCCGAGTTTCGGGTTTAGACGCCGTAGTGCAGACGTCCGTGGTAAGATGGCGCTGGGTTTCTGCTGCTTCAGAATAGCAATTTCCGTTGCGAATTGGGTTTGCTGTAGGAGATAAAAAATGCGATGCGAAACCCGCCTCAGCTCTTCAGCGTCAGGCGTAATCGTTACGCGCGGGGTACTCTGGACATTCCATTTTTTGGACTAGCGTAATAAATGGCGCATACCCGTATCATACGTGGCCATGAGGAAAATTGATCCAATATGATATTAGAATGCTGAGTAGCGAGGGCAGCTGTAACGGGAACATTACGACATTCCAACATTGATTCGTCGATAGGCGTGGGGTCCAAGGATGGCCATTCAGTTTCGGGAGCGATAAGCCATGTGGAGCCATGCCACCATAAATCATTATATTCAATTGTTAAGGCCGAGACTCCACGGGAGGCGAGATCCGCCGGGTTATCAACTCCGCGGACATGCCGCCAATTGACATCGGGTAGAAGCGTGTGTATTTCGGCTACACGGTTGGCGACAAACGTTTTCCACCTAGAAGACTGCGCGCGAACCCAGGTGAGGACGAGTGATGCGTCGGTCCAACAGCATCGCTCGCCTGAGGCATACACAGGTATTGAAACGAAGTGTGACATGAGACGGGCCAGTAAAGCGGCTCCGCATAGCTCCAACCGTGGTAAAGATACTTGCTTGAGGGGGGCTACTCGAGTTTTACTTGTGAGCAGCATGCTCATTGTGGAGTCTGGTAATTCGATGCGGATGTAGATCACAGCTGCATAAGCCTTGGTCGAGGCGTCGCAGAAGCCATGAAGTGAAAATCGGACGTTCGAAAATAATCCGATCCAACGTGGAATAGTGACATTACCGATCGACGGTAATTCGTCTATGAACACTTGCCATGCAGAGGCTACCGCATTTGGAAGTGGCGAATCCCAGTCCAGATCGAGACTCCATAACGACTGGATTAGAATTTTTGCTGTGATAATCACGGGCGATAGCCACCCGAGAGGATCGAATAATCGTGAGATCGTTGATAAGATCAATCGCTTCGTCATTCGCGGGGACCTTTCGTTAGCCACGACAAATCGGTAACTATCGGATATCGGATGCCACGATATTCCAAGGATTTTGACGTGGTCATCTTCTTGAATGACTTTTTCGCGTGCTAAACCATGATTCTGCGGGTCGATATCGTCTAGTAAGCTGGGTGCATTACTTTCCCACTTCCGAAGGACAAACTGACCTCTGGCAAGAAGGGCAACCAACTGATCTCGAATTTCTCTAACGGTATCTTTCGAATCTGCGCCAAAAAGTGCGTCGTCCACAAACATAGACGTAAGAAGCGCATGTCTGCCTAGTGGAAGGTCGTGACCTTCATCCTCCGCCAGTTGACGAAGGACGCGTAACGCTAAAAACGGGGCGCTTGCGGTACCGTATGTGACGGTGAGTAGTTGGTACTCCTGAATTGCGGTGGACGGAGAAGACCGCCAAAGAATTCTCTGGTAATTTACGTCCCTTGGATCGACCTGAATTTGGCGGTACATTTTCTCCACATCTGCTGAATATACAAAGCGATATGCACGCCACTGTAAATGTAATAATTGCAAGTCGGTTTGCAGTTTGGGTCCGATTATCAACAAGTCATTAAGGGATGTTCCAGTCGTCGAAGGTGACGACGCGTTGAACACCACCCTGGTTTTCGTGGTTGCACTATCGACTTTGAGGACTGCATGATGTGGCAAATAGCAAGACTCTGCGGTAGGGTCGGTGAATGCGACTTGCATATGACCAAGTCGTTCATACTCATCGAGAAATTCATGGTATGTCTCATACGCGGTGGGAACTTTAGCCAAACGTCGCTCTAACGCTAGGAGACAGCATTGTGCGCGAGAGCGAGTGTCGCCCAGACCGCGTGTCGGGTTGCGTTTAAACGGCAAACGAACTATGTACCTTCCATCTTTTGCGCGCGTGTGCGTAGATACAAAGTGTTGTTCGCATTGGGCGTCCTCCTCTGAAATGGGGGGACGATGCATGACCTCCTCTATTTTCCAAAAGCGAACGAGTGACCGCTTCAATGAGTCGTGCAGCTGTGCATGATGCACATGCACCGCGGATGCATCACATGATGCATCAGTTTTGGTTCGAGTGGCCCCCGACAAGACCCAGCCGAAAACGGTATTCTGTGCCACCGGCTGACCGGTCGTACCAGTCCGCAGCCCGTCGCGAAGTACGTATGGATAAAGATCCGAACCGAGAATTGTATGAATGGGCGTATTATCGGTGGGGCATCCGTCAGCGAGTTTAAGTCCATTCAGATGCGGCCAGTGCGACAGCTTGCAGTAAAAGTGCGGTACATAAGCCGTTAACGATGGTAAAATTAATGCATCTGTCGAAAAAATCGGCGTAGCAGTCTGCGTCGGACTGACCGTTATCGGCATCACACGATCGGCCGATTTCGTTGTCATTTGCCCGATGCCTCCGATTAACGCGACAGTCGGATACGTCCGAGATTGCAGTGCATTTGCCAGTTCGCGGGTTATAAAAGTGTGCGTCGATCCACCATCTAAAAGAGCGCGGACTTTAATAGTGCGGTGTGACGGAGCGCTTACATGAATCCATGCGGTCGCGAGGACAACGTTTGCAGAAGTCATACTAATATTATGATGAGATTGCACCAGACTTGCATCGGGTCGCGGAACCGATACAATGTTCGGTGCATCGGTGCTAGGTGCGTGGCGCACGTCGTCAGTTGCTGATGAGTCAACAACTGATCGATCACACGACGTCTGCGATTGCGATTCCCCAGAACGATGTAATAGCGTGTGATGACGGCGACGGCAGATTGCGCATGTGCGGCGACTGGCACATTTCGGAGTACGATGCACTATTGACAGACAATTTGTACAAGCCGATACGTTATTCACTATGTCCCATCGTGCGGGAACCGATTTGGAAATAAAGACCTTACACTGATATAATGCATGCGAGTCATCACATAAACTGCATGGTTTCGCGGTCGCATTGCCATGATGGCTTTGCACTTTCCGCGACGATGGTGCATTAGATCGAGAATGCGTAGTCGGCACAGTTTTACTCGGTGCACTTCCTGACGCTTCCAGGGCTAAAATCCGATTATTAATGAATTTTTCGAACTGATTATATGTCGGGAAATCAGTTGCATCTCCGAGATGCAATTCTCATGCCTCGCGCGTTTCTCGATCTAGGCACTGTCTGAGACGAAACACGAGCGTATCATCTGACACGGGGTGTTGCAATACATTCAATGCGTCTATCGACTCGCGAGCGGCATTTAATAATTTACGCAACTCTACGTGTGAACTTTCGCGCGTAATTGGCTTAAGCGCGAATAAACTAGACATATGAAAATTGAAGACTCGGCGCGTATTGGAGTAACGGTCGGATAAGAGTTTCCACGCGGTATCAAAATTGTTTGCGGTCGTCTGAATATTTTTCAACAACGCGGCTGCCTCCCCGTCGAGACAGGATTTTAAATAATGGAGGCGCTGTAAATTATCGAACGCGCGATCGTTAATAAATATTGACGTGAAATAGTCTTGGAACTCTTGCCAATCGCGATACGAACCGGAAAATCTTGGTAGTTTTAAGAGAGGTACCTTGGCCACTTTTCGTGGCTCCGCAATCACGGCGGCTTGAACTGGTGGAGATGATGTTTGTTGAAGGATGTCCTTGTACGCTGCAACGGTGTCGATACAAATATCTTCCATTGCAGCATATCGGTTTTCCGTGAAGTACAGCTGAGTCGCAAATTCTTCATCCTTGCTGAATTGCATCAAACGAAGATGCCGCTGAGTGCACTGTCCCCAGATTGTTTGTAGATACTCCATGCGAGAAAGAGCCATTGAAGGAGTGATCTGAGCGGCATGTTGAACCTTATCAGCTGATCGATTAATAGTTTTGAACTGCTCTTCTTGGTCAATAAGTTGCTCATGGAACTGCTCAATGTCCTCGTCCTTTGACATGTTTATTTCGTATTTAGCGTGCATAAGCCGAGGTTGCATGGAAATGATACTCGATATGCCTGAGCACTTCAAGCTGGCGATTGCTGAAGGACCGCGGTCGCGGTCGAAGCAGCCGAAATAACAGACGCGCTGATAGAGCGAGGAATATAGACGTATGTAATATCTCGTTTGGGCGCTTTCGTTTGACTAGAGCGAGCGTCGTTGAGCCTGTGAATGACGAAAGCGTCAGCGTGGGGCAATGCGTCGCAGGCATGGCGAGAAACGAAGAGGGGCCCTGAAGCGTGTCGACTTCTCTGCGCGGATGCGTTGGTGTTCGCGACCGGCCGTTGAGGCGAACCAAGTCCAACGAGGCCGAAGATACCCGTAGCTCGAGGCGGCTGAGGCTGAAGATGCCCGAAGCTCGGAGGCGTGCTCGTGTATGGACGGCAATGTTTGTCGAACAAATTGCACCTTTTGCACTAGAGATTGCCACTGCAATTGATCCTGGCAGGATCGCCAATGTTTTCGCATGTGGAATACCCGCAACAATATTAGGTACACTCACGATACTTTTCAGGATCCAGGATCAGACAGGTGAAGAAAATTCTCACACGTGCACTATTCACACGAGTTACTATTCAAATTGCTATATTTTCACAAAAGTTAAGTCCCGGTACAAAGCTACCAATCAAACTATAACTTGCCGAATGCCTAATACTCGATTACACGGTGTACGCGATTGGATGATGTGCGAGAATTGAGCGTACCTCAGATTGAGGGTTTTCTCGGAGCAATTCTGTCGTACGAGTTCTCGTAACTCACGATCAAGTGCCACGCCGCTGGAAAACAGCCAACTGACTCTTCGAATGAAACATGTCCGAAACACTTTCCACTACCAAATCCGCAGGGTGTCCCGCAATCGGCGTAGCGG